ACTAGGAATAGACTTACCATATGACCCAGGAATCCCACTCCTGGGCATATATCCAGAAGCAACCCTACTTCAGGATGACACCTGCACCCCAATGTTCATAGCAGCATTATTTACAGTAGCCAAGACATGGAAACAGCCTAAATGTCCATCCACAGATGACTGGATAAAGAAGATGTGGTATATTTATACAATGGAATACTCTTCAGCCACAAAAAAACAACATAACGCCATTTGCAGCAACATGGATGTCCCTGGAGAATGTCATTCTAAGTGAAGTGAGCCAAAAAGAGAAAGAAAAATACCATATGAGATCGCTCATATGTGGAATCTAAAACAAACAAACAAACAAACAAAGCATAAATATAAAACAGAAATAGACTCACAGACATAGAATACAAACTTGTGATTGCCAAGGGGGAGGGGGTGGGAAGAGATAGACTGGGATTTCAAAATTGTAGAATAGATAAGATAATTGTAGAATAGAATAGATAAACAAGATTATACTGTATAGCACAGGGAAATATATACAAGATCTTATGGTAGCTCACAGAGAAAAAATGTGACAATGAATATATATATGTTCATGTATAACTGAAAGATCGTGCTCTACACTGGAATTTGACATAACATTGTAAAATGATTATAAATCAACAAAAAATGTTAAAAAAAAAAAAGAAATCATTACTCTGGCTGGAAATTTTATTATCTTGCTAGTCTGTTGGTTACATTTTGTAACTTTTCCTGAGTTGCAAACTTGTTCTGCTTGTTAAGTTGATCCTCCATCCTGAATTTTTCTTGTTTCTTACAATAGAAGGCAGAACAGTGTGTGTGTGTGTGTGTGTGTGTGTGTGTGTGTGTGTGTGTGTTGACAGAGTCTGAGGACGGATTTGACTCCAGTGGTTCTTCGAAGGTAACTTAGTCTTTTTGACAGGCTGCGCTCTCTCAAGGTGAGAACCATGCCTCCTCTCCCTTTGATCTGTGATTTACAGCTGGCTAGTAGTAGGAGTCATCATCCTTTGTCAAATCTTCGCTGGACCCATTTTCTGGATGGTTCTCCTTAGAGCAGCCTTGACATCAGTGTTCCGTAGGCTATAGATGATGGGATTGAGGATGGGGGTGACCACGGTATAGAAGAAGGAGACAGAGGGTCAGTGGCTGGATCATAGCTGGCCTTGGGGCGAATGTAGGTAAAGATGGCAGCGCCGTAGAAGACGGAGACCACCACCAGGTGGGAGGAGCAGGTGGAGAAGGCCTTGAGGCGGCCAGCAGCAGAAGGGATCCGGAAGACAGTAGCCAGGATGCTCCCGTAGGAGCCCAGGATGAGACCGAAGGGGCAGAGGATGAGGAGCGCGGCGGCCAGGATAACCTGCAGTTCATTGAGGGAGGTGTCTCCACATGCATACCAGCTGCAGCACGGGCTGGATCTCACATAAGAAGTGCGGGATGGTGTTGGGGCCACAGCAGGGCAAGGAGAAGATGAAGGAGGTGTGGCCCGGGCCCACCATAGCTCCGCAGGCCCACGCTGAGCCGGCCAGCCCCAGGCACTTCCGACGGCTCAGCAGCAGAGGGTAGCGGAGGGGTGCGCATGTGGCTGCATAGCGGTCATAGGCCATGGCGGCCAGGAGGCAACACTCTGAGGCACCGACAAAGAGAAAGAAGAACACCTGGAGAGCACAGCCAGAGCGTGGGATGTGGCGCTGACCGGTGCGGAGCTGGTGAAGCAGCAGGGGCAGGGTGACAGACGTGTAGCTAATCTCCAGGGCCGAGCGGGTCCGCAGGAAGAAGTACACGGGGGACTGGAGGGCAGCGCCCGCTGAGACCAGCGCCACGACGAGCAGGTTGCCAGCCACGGGGAGCACGGGGGCCGCGAGAAAGAAGGAGAAGAGCACGCCCTGGGGCTGGGCCCGGCGGGAGGAGCCCGCGAGAGTGAACGCAGGCACCGTGGAGGCGTTTGCACTCATCCCGCCCACAGCCCTTCTGCCCGGTGGAGAAAAGAAACGGCAAAGGAAAGTTACCATTACGGGACAGAGAAGTGGGCAAAGATGACCTCTTTCTGCGTCTGTTGAAAGCACCGGAACTTCCTTTCTTTCAGCATCTCATGGACTTTGAGCTCAGCCTTGAGCTCATCAGTCTCGGATGATGGGTGAACACCTCTCCCAGCCTACTTCCCTCACCTGATTCCGCCTCCCGCCTCTCACAAGAACACATTGAATCCTGCTGTCAGTTTCTGCAAGGGTGAGGATTGGATCATTCTCGCCCCATTTCACTCTTTTCTCCCTTTCCCATCCTTCCCACAGGGCTGGGGACAGAATTTTCCCTCGCAGCAGAAGTTCTCCTGCTCAAGTCAGATGTGTTCTGCGTTCAGGGCATGACAAACCCCACTCCAAGCCGAGGGACTTTTCTGTCGCGTTCCTTTCCCTCTTGGGTCCTCCTACTTCTTTTTCGTTCCTTCTCTCACACGTTTCCTCTTTTCCTCTCAACTTGTCTCCTCTCTGAAACAATTTTTAACTCTTTTTCCTCCCTTTCCAGCTCTTTCTGCAGTCACCAGATCCACTCAGCCTCTCTCCTTTTTTTGTATCATTTTGCCACTAGTTACATTTCATGGTTTTCAAAGAGGAGGGAAGAAATTGGGAAGATTACCTCTTTCAAGCTCTATAGGCAGTGAAACAGTTCAGTTATCCAAAGGAATGAGAATCTCTCTAGTTTTAAAAGATCCCCAGAAGGTGTTTCTTGGTCACTTATTTCTGCATTTTACAGTCTCTCAAACTTCACCCCTTTTTACCAAAACACTTGCAAACCCCCAAATCACATACATAAACTTCACAAATCCACACACTAACATATTGCATTTCTAAATACAAGCATAGGAAAATAACCTAATATCCTCAGATTCTAGATTCATCTAAGGTCACAAATAAATTATGTGTTGTATACACATATGAATACCATTACAAATAACAATGAATGAGAAAATACATTTAACGTAAAAATACAAGCACACCCACATATATAATAGCTGCATAAATCTAAATTCTTTGCAAAAATATAACCATATTCAGGAATGCTTATTAAAAATACAAGCTCACACACGGCTATCCCTTTGTAGTTTGAAAGTCCTTGGTTCTTTCCACCTCGGTGGCTCTTTGGCATTTCCCAGGAGATACTGTCTGAATGATGTCTTTCTGTTTAGAGAAATAACCAGCGATAAAGGCAGATGGTATTTGATGTCTTGCGTATTTTCTCCTTTTTCTACATAGTGGATCCCTCATGAGGAAAGTACTCTTCGATTTGGTGTCTCCTTAAGGTCTCTGAGGACCTGAGTCTCCAAGCATATTTGACTTTCCAAAGGG